ATATATATATATATATATATATACACTGATGCGTATTATATGTACGTATATATGTATATTTTGTATATATACCATATTCCATATATCTTTTTGTATATGTAATGTATATATATAAAATATACATAAATATACATATATATATGCATATATATGTTTCACTTATTACATGTGTATGCTTAACGAGCAATTCGTATAAGCGATAAGCAGCAGCAAATGCATTTAATCGGATCACACAATATCCATTTTATAATCATCGCATTTATTTTTTATAATTATATATATAAAGAATTTGTATATTGTATAGGATATTATATACCATAAGTTTAGCGTAAATGTACATACTTGTTTTTTCGAAGACTATAAAGGATAATGTTGATAATTTATAAGGCTATCGTAATAGAAGCAATACTAACGCGTCAATCGTTGTTCTCATCGACCCAGTCGTCGAGAATTCCGAGTCTTTACTACTCGTCTCTGCCTTTCCTCTTGCCAAAGCTCCAGTTACATCGCATTTTTTTTTTTAACGCGACTATCTCCCGAGACAATTGCGACGAGTGATTTAGAATCTAGTTGGAGGAAAAGAAAAGTACCGGAACGTTCCGTCGTACGTTCTCGACGTATGTTACATCGCGTTCTCGAGTAGTAAAGACCGAGCGCCGATCATTAAATCTTAAATCGCACGCACGAAAAGTATTTTATATTCGATTGATATACACCAATTTTTAACTGGACTCAGTTATTTTATACGAGCTTCGTATATTTATTGTAATTCAGATATGTAAACCGAATTCTGTATATGTCCGTTATGTCTTAAGCAATCGTCGTTGAATAATCCGAGATAAAAAGAAAACTGATATTGTTGCTAAGGATATAATATACTACCGATATATATATATTGTTGTTGAGATATACCGAGATAATAAATACTGCATTGAAAAAAAATTTCGATGGAATTGTGATTTATATTCTTGGCGATTGTCTTGTATTTTCTCTCTTTTTATTTCTCTTGGAATTGAATCAAGAACAAAATAATTGTGTTAAACTTATATACATCGATGGATAATGCATCATCATGATGTAAAATATAGATGATATAACTGAACAGAATATTATTGTGAGGTATTGTTATATAGGCGATTCTACGAATGTTAAGGATTAAGTTATCATTAATCAGTTATTTATTATCGATATATAGATATATAAATAGCTAAGTAGTACTGATAATTACGCGGAGCTGACGGCGGTTGTCATGCGCGCGTATAGATTTTTGAGAAAATTTATATTCTTTTGGAAATTGCGTAAATATTAATTATAAAGCAAAGAGTGAAAAGTATTGCTTCTAAATTCTGTTCTACGATGTAATAACGAGATGGACAAAATTTTGAACAAAAATCTTGATATTGGAAGTAAAGCGATAGCTTCCGTTATTTTTGCCATTTAGAATTACTAGCGATTCAATTCGCAGTAAGACAGAACAATTTCAATAATGATTTCAATTTTTGTAAAAAATTTAAAAAGGACGCGCTCCCTCGACGCATCGCCCTTTAAATATGGCGCCGTGGCGGAGCAGATGAGAAGCAGGCGAAGCTTTTCCATTTTTGCGAAGCGATCATTAGCAATCCGTCCGTTTAAGCTTGTCGGTCAAACTGGTTAGCCTATAGCCCCGCTGAATAGTTTCCGCATTCCAAGACCGGCGTACTTTCCGAGGACGTGTAAAGGTGGGTAAGGTTATCGATCCTTATTGGCGCGTTCATTCAGGATCGACGATTTCTTGAAATCCGCGTGTCGCCGATCTTTCCAATTAATCGCGCGATCGGGGAGTCCAATTACGGCCTTATATTGCGTCGATTGGCGGCACGCCGCGCCGTCAGTCCCGTGTACATACATACATACGTGTGGTGGCACTCGATCACTTTTCTCGAAACCTAGAGCGTAAGCGCGCACGTCACCCGATCGCCGTCCGTCGGTTCCGCGTAAACTCGGAATCGGTCGCGATTTCTCTTCGCGCTAATCTGTACAGAATTAATCATGAGATCGCCATCCGCGTGCGAATGCCGGTCGCTGACGTCAAATTAAATAAAAACAAAAATCTCGCGAGAAAAGCGTAACGAATAGATAAATGAAAATATAGGTACATATATATATACATTAATTATTAGAAACTACTTCTCGACTAAACTTCGATTAATTTGATCGACAATTATTCACGTATCCGATAAAATAGTGTACCCGATGTTATCTATTTTATTAATGGATAGAATTACATATGTAGTAATTGAGCTTCTTATTCCCAATTCGAATTTCCAAGAAGACCGAGGCTTTTTACGAGATATTCAGAAAGTTCTGAAAACTCGGAGCTGCAGCGCGAGAGAGACAGCTAGCTGTGACCTCTGTTATATGTTTACGTTAATAAAGCGCCAATTATCAGCGTGAAGTGTCCGTTATTCCCACTGTTTGTTTCGTTTGTTCTCTGCTCTTTGTTGGATGATATTGTTGAAAGTGCCAAAAGCCGCTCCACGGGGAACCGTGACAGGAGGAGAAACAGGCCATTATAGGCAATATAATAATGCCTAGACACCTAATCCCCGAAGGGCTCCTTGTCAATTCCCTGATCCCTCAACCTTTTCCAAGATTTCCTCCCGAGATAATTGTAATGATGTACCTCGCGTTTTATTTAATTTTACTAGCAATGTCTGTTGCATTTACCCTTGCTTATTGCGCGTATAGAATCTGGGTAGCGGAGACCATCATATATTTTTGACAAATAAAATCAAATCTTTCGCCTGAAATCTGCCGATCTATATATAATTTCCATGCATTTTACTTCAACTCTATACCGTGCCACGTGTATTCCCAGATCCGAAAATATCCGAAATCCGAAACATCTTTCCAAATGTTTCGGATTAAAATTCTAATCAATTTTAACTACATTAAAATTATTATAGCTACGATTATTAATATTATTTTTAATATTTAAAAAATATTAAAAAAATGACAAATCATATAATTATAAATTCTTTAAACAATATTGTCGTTTGAATTAATTGTTGATCGAGTTACTCAGAGTTTGGTCAAAGTCGCCGTGAATTTCAGAGGGTTCTAAACTTTCGGGCGCGTTCAACAAACAGATCAAATCAGTGAGTGATCCTTTTGTATTACAATTTTCACTCAGATTCAGCGAAGAAAGGCAATCATTTATTACAATAAAGGAAAATCATTTATCATAATAAATAAGTCATATTAAAAGAATCGCACTGAGCGCTCACTGATTTGCTTTGTCTGCTGAACGCGCCCTTTGAACAATAGCTCGACTATCGTATTTGCTCGTATACAATGCGCGCTTCTCATCTCACGGCACAATAGGTAATTTAACAGGGGGGATAAAGGTAAAACGATGAGCAGACGTCGGAGCGTCTCTCCCGCTCCGATCAGATTTCGAAAATCTCGGCGAAAGAAAAAGATTTGTATAGCGTAGATCATCGCTGCGATCCCCCGGTCGATATGCGTTTTGAAAGGCGGCGCGGCGCGGCGCCACCTATCCGTGCAGTCCGCGGTTCCGAGAATGCATCATGCTTGCTCGCTTGACGTCTCGCCGTGACGTCAGTCGTTGATCGGCACGCCAGCGGCTGCATCACGGGCACGGACGGCGGGTATTACACACGCGAAAATCGCGGAAAACTCGGCGCGGCGGCGAATTCGTGCGTCACGGTGTGCGGCGCGACGGCCTGGTCCGGTGGTTCACGGAAGGCGCGGAAGGCACGGATACGAGGTTACGCGCGCTGGAGACGCGCGAACGTCGGAGTCGACGGGGACGACGCGTGCGAGCGGAGCGGAGCGGAAGGTCCCGCGCGGTGAGAATCCCGGAGGCTCGCGAGGCTCATCGGCGCGCAAAGTGATCCCGTCTCGACGCGCGGCGGCCGCCCCGGCAGAACGGCGGGCAGCAGGGGGCGTGGAGGAGGAGGAGGAGGAGGGCAGCAGCGCGATCCTCCATCCCGCGTACGACGCCATCTTCGCATTGTGCGGTCGCCGTCGCGGACGCCGCCGTCAGGTTGACGGCACTGGCGCGATTGATCGCGCATACGTTGTGTGTATACTCCACGCTCGCGCCGCGGATCGTCCCTCCCCCCGCCTTCCCGTGGTGGTGTGTGCGTGTGTATAATACGTGCGTGCACACAGACGACACACGCACGCGCGTACACGCGAGCGCGTGTTTTTGTACGCGGAATATATACGCGCATCACGTTGGGAGCCGCGGAGGTCCCACAGACGGACGGACGGGCCCCCCTTGGCCATTCTCGTGAATGTAAACAGAACTCTCCGTCGCGCCGGATATATCATGTGCTACGACATGGACGGGTACGGCGGCGCGGCCGCGGAGCTGCTCGCTCTACCCGCGTCGCGCTGAAGGCCGAGCCGGAGCTGAGCTAAGCGAAGTGAAGTTGTGTCGACGTTGCCGTCGCCGTCGTCGTCGTCGTCGTCGTTGTCTTCATCTTCGTCATCGTTGCGGTCGCCGCCGCGCGCTCGCGTCGTCGGTGTGTGCGCGTTCCTCGACCCGGGTCGCCGCCTTCGGAGTGGTGTGCGTGCGGGGATTACCGTGAAGTGGGAACGGCAGCCACGAGAGCCGACCGTCGTCGACCGTCGTCGCTCCGGGCTCGCCCCGTTGCGTGTACGCGGCGGCGTCTCTCTCTCTCTCTCTCTCCTTCCCCGTCTTCCTTCGCCCGACTCTCTTGCTCCGTCTTCTCCCTCTCTCCTTCTCTCTCTCTTTCTCTCTCTCGCGGTCGCCTAGGATAATTCCCGATACCTGAGACGGGTTCGCGTGTGCGCGCACCGCGTACGGTTCTACGTTGGCTCCGTTGCAATGAGAGGCCTCGGCAGGAAATTCACGGACGGAGCTGCATCCAGGGTGAGTATATTAATTTCTTCTTCTCCGCGCGCGTTATTCTCTCTCTCTCTCTCTCCCCGCGGTGCTTGCTCCTCGCGCGTTTTGACAACGACCGCGGATCCCGCGCTGCGGGGAATCGAGAGACGAGAACGTCGCAGGGCCATCGCCGACGACGTATATCTCCTCGTCCTGTTTACTCCGTCGTCGTCGTCGCTTGCGCGTCCGCTTGTTCGCCGCGGGCTTCTCGCGTTTTACGCGCGTATATTGCATTCTCTGCGTCTCCGATTTCCGTCGCGAGTCGCGAGATGTATACTTATTATATATACCTGCGTTCGCCGCCTGTCTTCGACGCGTCCGTTGCACGCATTGTTTTGAGCCGCGATTTCATATTGTATGTACGCGTCACGCGCTCGGAGGTATTCGCATCCTCGCTGTGTTTTTTTCCTCCCCTGTCATTTCCCCCCCCCCCGTTCTTTTCTGCGCGACGAAAGATTTACGGTGTCCCGAGTGCAGGCGGATAGGATCACAGGTGCGCCTGCCGAGAGATCCGGTAGCGAGGATTCCCCCCCCCCCGCAGCAGGTAGGGACCGTTTGTTATTGTTGGACGGGAGTTTTTCCGGCTCGAGGGATGTGAATCTCCTCCTAATGGAACTTAGGTATATCCGCGCAACAGTCGCAGGCTACACGGCTACCGGAATCCCTTCCCTTCCTCCTCCTCACGGAGGTTCTGCACGTGTACGTGTCCTCTTATGCGCGGGTTGCGCTCGTGTGCGTGACTCCGTCGAACGGGGTGCTCTCTTCTTCTTTCTCTCCTCTCTCTTTCTCCTTCTCTTTCTTTCTATCTTTTTCTCTCGTTTCCCCTTCGCTCGCTCCGCTCGTTCGCTCGCTTGTAAATCGAAATCCGAGGTGCTTTTCGAGCCGCGTGTTTGTCGCTCGTAAAAAGCCCCCACCGAGCCCGAAGGCAGAAGCGGGATGGCATACTGCTGTTTGTCTCAGGTTCGCGAACCTAAACCGACGAGAGGCAACGTATATACGGATCGGCAGACAGGCAGAGGCAGGCACAGGCAGCAACTGCAGATAAGCTAGTATCAGACTAAAGATTGAGATTGAGATTGGATTGGAATTTGATTATTTAAAACAGAGTTTACTAAATTAGATATTGGTTTTCTTTCTTCTAATTGGTTAAATTCCAATTCAATCTCAATCTCAATCTTCAAGTCCAATACGGGCTACATAAGGCTTTTTGTCTGGTTTTACGGTTTAACCATCCGCAAATTTATTTCTTATATAAATTGAAATGCGGCAGCGGTTTTCGGAATTCACATACACGTTTCCTAGCCGCGCGCTTGTTTTTGTGGTATTTTCCTCCTTTCTCTCCTCCACTTTGAAATCAAAGTGCACTTTGTTCCGTTTTAGCGGGGAAACCCATAATACAGCGAACTGTAATAAGAGCAAGTCTCTCTCTCTCTCTCTCTTTCTCTAGAAAGAAAGACTTTAACATTCCTATTTTGACGAATATGCGTTAGTACGTTTATATTAATTTTATAAAATATATATGGACTACGTAAAAAAAGAGATATGAGATGTATGAAATATAACATTTTTATTTAATTAGTCATTATTATTATCGAGATTTACACGGCAAGTTCTCGCTCTATTGATCGAATTGCGTGCTTTTTCTTAAAAATAAAAAAAAATATACATAGGGTAGGTCTGCACATGTTGTGTCAAAAAAATGCATTAAAAAATTACGTAACAAAAAGTACAGATTGATAATTTTATCTGTAATATTGTCTTTCTTTGTTAAAACTCTCGCCTATATACTTGTTTTTTCTTGTACCCTCCAAGGGTCGTTGCAAAAAATTGTATTTTATTGGAGCACATCTTTTTTTGTTATATATTTTTTTTTTGTTACCCTTATCTGTGAGGAAACACTCGGCCCAATCTCAATTGCGGGTTTCTCGGAAACTCTCGAAAATACCAATGCGTTAAACTATGTATTCATGGTGTCGCTTGTCGCTCATATTTAGCGACAAACAAGTGAAATTGTATCTATATCATATGGCGCTGATTTCGATTGTCGCTTGTGTAAATGGGTAGCAGCGATAAATTTTTTATTATACCCACACGACTCGGTGCGACGTCGCTCTTACGCACCGAATCAATACAATATAATAAATATAATAAAAAAATTTATCGCTGCTATTCATTTACACAAGCGACAATCGAAATCAGTGCCATATGATATAGGTACAATTTCACGTGACTTGTTTGTCGCTAAATATGAGCGACAAGCGACACCATGAATACATAGCTTTACAAACAAGAAAATAAAACTTATAACATTGTTACATGCTGTAAAATAAATGGCTGTCAATAGCTCATTGCGTGATCTTGCATAGAAAACTTTCCAAGATTTAACTTCCCAATCTCTTCTCGACCCAATCTCAACTGCAGGTTTCTCGGAAACTCTCGAAAATATCAATGTTAAGAAAATAAAACTTATAATAATATCGTTACGTGCTGTAAAATAAATGGCTGTCGACAGCTCATTGCGTGATCTTGCATAGAAAAAATTCCGAGATTTAACTTCCCAGAAAAAATCATGGATTTCGGTTGACGAATCTGGAGAATCTGACAGTGTCAATGCAAAATACAGGGGAATGTATTCATTATTTCGAAACCAAAAATTAAGAAAATCTTAGTATTATTTACTACGATTTGGCTCCTGTAGATTAGACGGTTGACTTTTATGATGTATAATACTATTTGAAAAATATCATAATAGAGAGAGAGAGAGATTTTCGATATATTTTAATGGTTCTCAAAGTCCATAAATTCTGACGTATTTATTTCTCCATTTTATATATTAGATGCTTATTCGTATGAGTTGGAAGAGAACAATTTAATGTTAAATCAGCTTATCCCATTATGTTTTTAATCAAATACCTCGAGCTAATTTCAAATTTGGCCACTTAACTCTAATCACCTAATCCTGCAATATGTTAGAATTTATGCTAGCGCTGGTGAGGGCCTAACTTTAACAAGGGTATAATCCGATGAGGTTTAGGCGTGTAACGAATAGACGAACATTTTGTGGATCCCGTTAGATCCAGCTTCCATTTGCTCTTTTCTTTCTCTAAAGTTTTCTGTATTATATAAGCATACCGGCAACAAAATCCTGAGAATAAAAATGGATTTGGTGCATGAAGGTTAAAAAAAAACTTGAGGAATGACCCTTTCGTTCTTGCCTTCGTACGTGTACGTCTCCGAATTTTCCACAATGCGTTTTTCTAACGTGAAACGATCTTCATTTGCTGTCTTCCATCTCCACCAGCCAGTCGAAGATCCGCGACGTCCGACTCTATTGTGTACGAAAAGTGCTGTTCCGGTACTTCTGGTTTACAGTCCCCGCGCGGATTACAGATCGTTAGTTGCATAGAAATTCTTCCTGCGTTCAGTCCCCATTTCGACCCGCGAGTTTATGCAGGCGTCGAGTGTTGAAAATTAAAACAGCTTAGACATTCGGAGTTTCACGGTAAGAATCCAATTTCGCATATATAATCGAATTCTACATTTAGGATATTATACTACAAGTATTTTATCCGTCACTCTGCATACTTGTGTGCACAGTGGCGAACGGAAGTATGTGTTTATAATTATAATTTTAATTTAAAATTCTATTTAAGGGCATTACGTAGATACTATTATAAAATTTTTATCATATCTTTGATTAAAATGGCAATTAAAACATTACTTTTCGTAAAAACCTTTACTTTTGTTGGTTTTTATAACGTATAATTAAATGTAAACAAAAGTGAAGGTTTTTACGAAAAGTAATATTTTACCAATTAATTTATGTTATCAAAACATAACATTATTTTTACATCAAATGAATGTAATCATACAAAAATTAAAATAAAAACGGTTTTCCGAAAATGTTTTATAGACAAAATTATTTTCAGATAAATTATATATTAGCGTAACTGATGAATTACGTGCATTCTTATTGGTAATAAAATGTATCGTCTTTTGTGCGATTGCCACCATAAAATAGTCTGTTTCTTCGAAGGAAGTGTGTTTGAAATCATAAATACACATCAGACATAATTTTTATTTCTTGTTTCTATCACTAGAATACTTCGAATTCGCAAGTTCCGAAATCTCATGTTCCTTTATCTCTTATGGAATTACAAGAATTACATTTCGTAAGCACGAGAGACAAGGCAATAACAATTAATTTGTCGAGTTGTAGTTAGCAAAAACCTTTTTTTCTCGTTAATGTTTGTTGATTACTAATCGACAATCGGCGCGATGGCAGGCGGAGCGATTCGCGAAGAGCAGAGAATATTTTTAGAAAAAGATCGAGTCTCCCGCGGTGATCGAGTTAGCAACAGCATATCCATTAATTATATCGCAAAGTTCCGTCTCGCTTTAAACGCATCCTAGTCCGAATGCCATCTCGTCTTTCGAAGATATTTTCGATTATTAACGACCGAAGTGTGTTGCGGCTTCGCGTTTCTCGCGTTTGAAGACGTCTCTTACGAACCTGCGACCAAATGTCGGCTTCGCGTTACGCGCGTTCGACGCGAATCGCAGATTGCCCTCGTTTGCACCATTTTTATGAATATGTGAAAATCCATTATTATCAATCTATGTTATTTTTAATTTAATTAACGTTGACGTTATATTTTAATTTTGTTTACTTTGACGTTATTTTACCGATCGATCTTGCGTTCATTTCTCTGACTCCTTTATTACACTTTATTATTGTCATTTAGGTTTATGCGGCAAATTTCAGATTCTAACGATCGAATTGTGTGCACATGTGTGATTTAAAAAATAAGATAAAAATAAGAAGAAATATGTATATATATATGTAAACGTCATCGTGGTCTATTAGCAAACAAAATGATAGCAATTTGCATTTTTATTTTTATTTTTCCTGTACGTTTAATTATAAATTATTCAATTATAATTATTTAAATGAACGAAAAATAAATGAAAACTATGCAAAAAAA